CCAATGATGCAAGCTTTGAAATTGAATGCCATCGAGACCCACAGAAGGTTTGGAGTCCGTGTGTTATACCGTCTTTCATACACCACTTGAATAGCTTCTGGCGAAGTGAGATGGGCTGAAGAAGTTGACAATGGTTCAGTTGTTGTTTGTGGTGTCCTTCATGTCTGGGTGGTCAAGACACTTCTTGACAATGATATTAAACATGTGTAAACAACACACTAATGGGATGACATGAGGGTACTCTTCTCTAAAAAGTCTCTGTGAAACCAATTAGTGATGGACAAAAAAACTATCAGCCTTCAAAGTAGCACAAAAAAAGAAGAAATGAGGGAGACAAAAAAGAAATATATTGAAGACTTACTTGTAACTTGACCATTGAACTGGCCGAATCAGTGACAATAGCTCCTATCTGCTCCCGGGTCACATCTTGCCCATGTAAATGTGTTTTCAAAGCAGCCAGGATGTTATCTGAAGTATGTCGGATCTCATCCAAGTCTAAAATATTCATAAGATTCTTGATGTTGGTACCATGTAAAAGGAGGACAGCATAGACACTATTTTGGGAGAAGTCAGTCCATCCGTCTAAAGAAACAGTCATATTGCTATTCTGCTCAAGTTCTGCTTTTGACGCAACTGCATACCAAGCATGAAGTTGTGGAAGAACTTTGTCCATCATAACATATCATGAGGCTGAAGTGAATGGTGCAATTGAGAGTTTCTGTTGAAGCTGAGACATGGTGTTATGGAGAAATCAAAAAGGATTATGGCTAGTAATGAGTCCTTTGAGTAGAAGATCTTCATGAATCTTCATATTTTCTTCTGGTTTACGGATACTGAAATGATGGAGATTGGAAAAATCATGATCAAGTTTTGGTTGCTTTAAAATGGTAACAGGTGCGGGTGTTGACCCAGCTGATCCTTCTGAGGACCTATTCAGTGGTTGTAGTGCAACTTCAAGATTGATTTTCTGGTAATTAGATCTTTTGGGTATCAATATGGATTTACACAATTGAGTCATATGGTGATATATTTTTGGTTGCTTCCCATCCATTTCTAACTTGGAGAAGTTACACTTTGCACCGTGTCATCCGTGCTGGTAACTGCTGAATGCTGTGAATCCATGCCATTTGGTACCACTACCTGAAGGAGGACCAATCAACATTGCTTTAGGCAACATAACTGATAGGTGAATGAATAAATGTGCCAACACCAGCGCTGATAGATTGGCAACTCCTTGCAGGTGGGCGTGAGAAAGGGTGGAAACCTCCTTTTCTCACCTACTTAGGTTTGAGGGCGCTCCCACCCTTTTTTCAAAAAAAAGCCGCACCTGGGCGCGCCGCCCTCAGGCGCTGCTCAGGGTCCCAAAATCACACTGCGCCCACCACCTGACCTCCAGGGCGCCTCGTGGCTTTGTGGCACCAGGTGTGATTGTGACTCTCAGTACATATGCACTGTATTGGAATGTATTACTCTGTATCACTCAGACTCTTGTATGGATTTACACTACACCGCCGGAATTAACTTGTTTGTAACCCAATTGGGCGGAATTTTGTTGTCCGGGTTCGAAAATTCCTCAAATTGTGAAACTTGTTCACAACTTGTTAGCATTAAGTTTGCCAATTCACCTCTCTGTACCTCTCTGGCCCCGTGGATGTCCAGTCAAATCATAGAACTACAAGCCCTTTCACCATTCCTCACCATCACCTTCATTTGTCAAGCCTTGATCAACCAAAAAAAAGGATTTGGCCTTGATCAACCAAAAAAAAAGAACGAAATCCAGTGGGGACATAATAAGGGGTGAGATATTCAAATGGTTGGAATCAAAGGTGTTGAAAGTGCTGTGTATGTGTACGTATTGCAGTGTACTTGAGGGAATTTGGCAAATGTAATACCCACAAGTTGTGAACGAGTTTTGCAATTTGAGGAAGTTTCAAACCCGGACACCAAAATTCTGGTCAACTGGGTTTCAAATGAGTTAATTCCCGCGATGTCAATAAGGAAGCATATTGAGCAAGGAAATAACCGTTTAATAGTTGATATATAACTGTTACAGGTTGATTACATATAATATATATATGTAGGACAGCAGTTGACAATAATCAAAGAGAGAAAGCAGAATAAGGACCAGAATCCGTGGATACTAACTGTAAAAGGGCTTATAAGGGACTTGTAAGGGCTCTTGAAGGTTGTTATGGACGGATTGGTTGGTTTATAAAGCTTGGTAAACTTGATTGGTTATTGTAAATGATGAGGAACAAAAGAAACAAGACAATAGCAAGGGTTTATATACCCGTCAGAACAAGTAAGAAAGCACACAGCAGCATAAGAAAAACTCTACAAATAGAATATGATGAACATATCATGCAAACAACTGATCATTGATGCATAGAAGATCTCAAATGATCATTACAAATAGATGTGCACATGTAAACCATTCCTTTTAGCATGTGTAATTCCATCCACCATTTAATTCTGAATAACCCTTGTGGTTATTCAATAACAATCCATCCTTTTAGCACGAGGACCCTAGATCTCCCTTCTTGGCGGCCATCACATGCTAAGAAGATCAGTTATTAAGTTGGGTTCCCAATACACCTTACAGTCTGACCTGCGCAAATGCATACCCGCGCAACTGCATAACCCGTGATAATGCATAGAAAAACTCCTAAATTTTGATACTTTTTACTGCCGCATTTGACAATGGAATTGCATAACCCGTCAAAATGCATAGCAAGAGCCTTCCACCCAAGTTATGCATTTGCGCGGGTTAGACTGTAGTAGCTTGAACTAGGATCACACGTGTGTAATGGACAGATCATCATTAAACAAATCACTTCAGGATCATCTTCCAAATTGATCCGTGAGTATTTTGTTTATTGAATATTGACCATCTTTTGAATACACAAAAATAGAGAAAAGTAGAAACTGATTTGAAGTTAAGAGAAAGTGATAAGTGAAAAAGAATAGTAGAAATAAAGTACTATGTGTATTACTCGTGTAATTGATGATTACATGTTTGTAACTTCATGTAATCATTTGTTACGAGCTCTTTCAGCTTAATACTACATGTAATTGTTTAATTACATGTAGTTATACGTATGTAATAAAGTTTGATTGTGAGGAAGGAGATATACAGCTATGTCCGTGTATGCCCTTCCTGACACGTGGTGTTATGTATCAGGTTGTGGGTGCGCTCATATTTTTGTAGGCGCACTGAGGCATGTTTTGTTTTGTTACTTTGCGCCTAGCTTGGCGCGCCAGGCATGTCTTCCCACAAAAAAATGCCAAAAGCCAAAATGTTGCTTTTGTATTGTTATTTATTCTATGCTTGTATTGCTAGAGCTGTCTACTACAGCAGAATTGCCTTTCTAAGGAGAGAAAAGCTAAGAAATGCTGTCAATGTGAGTATCCAAGTCTCCAATATTGGTGACAGGACATAGAAATCCTACGATTTGGTGCAGTTCTTGAAAAGGCGTGCCAAATCATGCGGTGGGCGTGGCGCACCCAGGTAGTGCCGAAGGCCTTTTTGAGGGTGGGCGCACCCAATGACCTAATCATAGGAAAGGTGAGGGGTTTATACAAAACCCGGCCCTACATTGTCCACAATCCGACGTAAATCTATATCCCATCTTATCCAAACCATCTTTCACAACATAATCAAAGACATATACAAGAAAAAATGGCCATTCACGTCCCAGCAGAGTCATTGTTGATTCCCCCGCCTACAAGAAGCTGTACCAGACCGGATGGGTTCAAAGCTGTCAATGGAAATCATAACTGTAAATGCTTTCCCAAGTGCATAAGCTGCAAGGCAAGAGCAATAAAGTGTCAAGGAATATGGACAACATATGTTTTTAAGTATTTCAATGGTCACTCTTGGATCAGGTAGGGATTTTTTTCGCACCTTGTGCGCCTTTTGCGCCCCAGCCTGTACAGGCGCGCCCGGGCGCTCCCTTTTTGAAAAGTCGCGCCCACCGCGTGAGCGCCAACCCTCATTTCGTCGGTTTTCCGACGCCGAAGGCGCGTTTTTCGCGCCGTGCCCACAACCTGAGTTATGTAGTTGTAAGGGCGTACCCTTACAGGTAGCGCATAGACCATAGCGGTATGGGTTTAGACAGTTGCTGGTAGATGTTGTTGTACTTCGTGTCCTGGCTCCAGAGATCCCTTTCCTCAGGAGGACTCTCCACTCGGAGCTAGGTGAGCATTATCTTATTCTTATTCCTTTTCTCTTCATATGTTGTTACGGTGTGATTAGTTAGGTTACCGATAGGAGGAGGACTCTCCACTCGGAGCTAGGTTGTTTGAAATAGATATTGGCGGATTATAGGTAGTCTTGAGCTTTGAGCTACCTTTTGTGATCACAGTGAAGGTTCTATACAATAGAACCTTACAGTAGTCCCGGACCCTGCACTTGCCACAGCTTGCCACTCGTGGATGTGCGTGACAAACTCTCACAGGTCGGAATGTAACGACCGAGAGTCTGAGTGATACAAAAATTGAGTGACAAGATTATGTATCCTCCCAGTGTCTCCAGGGCGGTGCTCCAGGGTCCTCATTCAACTCGATTCAACTCGGGCGGCTTTAAAATTTATATCATTGCTTGCTACAACGAATTTGGCTCCGTAGCGGGATGGATGCCGGCCAAAGAAAAGGAATGGAACGAATCAATTTTTTGAAATTGATGCGACGTAACCAAGTGGAATTCGCGGTCGGGACTAGCAGAATTATGTAAGGCCATCGTGATCGGGTGATGTCCCACAATCACAGGAGTCATATAAGGTCATATATATACGAGTGAATGGACCGGATGATATACAGTCAATTCAGAAAAGCTTGTCACAAATTCCCCGTCAACTCGCTCGAGGTTTGCGGGCAAAGTTGGTCAAGCTTTTGTAAATTGACTGATAACCTCTGATTCTGATCGATCTGCCTTGGCACCTTGCTCAAGTTTCCCTGCTGTCCCTTCTGATCTGTGCAAACCCTTCCGAGCAATTTCTATCATGGTCAAATCTACGCCGCAGTTTACCCATCGCCGAAGACCTTTTCTTCCAGAAATCATAACCCACTGTATCGCCGAATTTATCGGCGTGTTTCTCTACGTCCTCCCTGGTGAAGCGGCAACAGCTGGTGAAGCTTCAAACTGCGATCTATTTGATATTCCATGAGCTTATTTCTTCTGTCCTTTGCATAGGTTTTTTGTTGAGCTCTGCAAGTAAAACAGCCGGATTGGGAGATTTGTTGAATGTTAGTCATCACATTCTGTACTTCCCAACTGATTTCCTGGCATCATCGAGAATCGCTTTTGCGTCGTCACATTTTGTCTTCAATCTAACAATGACTTCCTTTTGATAGATTGGTATTGCGTATAGGCATGTCGAAATAGGCCATTTTGATCCTCCTAGTCTGACATCAACTAACGTTGTCTATCAATTTTTAATCGATGTAGCTGCGGCATTGTTCTTGCCATCACTCTCACGCACGTGTCGGGCCCACATTTGAGCCCTGGCGTTACTATTGCGGTAACTGTGAGCCTTAAAAATGAGTTATATTTGCGAGGCTTACTTGGAACTGACGAGACTTGAACACGTGTAGGTTCTGAAGGGATTTCCTCTGTGGAAAGTGATCCCTTACATCATGTCTCAGATGCTCGGTGCGATTGCCGCAACATTATGTATCTATGGAGTCTATGATCATTCTTTTCGCAAAGTTGAGCAAGGACTGGTGATGCTCGGTAAAAAAAATCTAGTGATCTCGCCTTCTGGTCCAGGTGGAGTGGGAGCGATCTTACCTGGCGAGTCGCATGACCTCGGACAGTCAGTACTTTCTTCTCTTCAAATCATGTATGGACAAGTGTTTCTGAGATTCTCTCTTGAAAACATATAGGATTTTCTTTGGCGAATTTCTAATCAGTACCATACTTGGCTTGACCATCTTTGGAGCTTTAGATCGGAATAATCCGGTCTTGAGTCCAACCAGTATCCCATATCTGATGTTTGTTACAGAAAGCTTCCTTTAAAGAGCATTGAAACAAATCTGACTGATTTGGAGTCGTATATCTCCAGCGGCATGGCTTACTTGATTGCTATCATCGGGTTCGCCCCCAACACCGTTGTCCTCAACACGGCACGAGGATTGGGAGGGTTAGTATAAATCTTTTTTGATTGGCAATTGATTCACTTACTGACAGCCTTTCTCGATCCTTGATCACGATAGACAAATCGCCACCAGTATGATCTACGGTGCAGAAGTGTTTGAGAATAAAAGTTTCATAGTGATGGCCACACTTACCAATATTCCAGCGACCTTGGTGAGAGCCAACTCGATGACTCAATCTTTACTTGGTAAACTGACCCTTTATATATCTATACAGCTAGGAGGTCTTTTATATAAGTGTTTTCTCGAGAATAATGATCCACCCACAGAAATTAAATCCACTAATTACGACAACGCGCCATCAACTCGACATGCGTAATCTGACAATGTCAGCCTGAGGTTCTTGATAACCAAGAACACGCATCATAACTCCTTTTAAGAATATGATTGTATTTAGTCCTTTTGGTGTTTTCGGATTTCCCACTTTCCTTTTATCGAGTCATTTTATCAGTCACAAGCTTGTAAATATATGCTGCGCAAACATTCCAGATAAACACTTGAGCATCAAAAAACACACAATGTTATCTCAATAAATCTGCTGGTCATTGTTCATATTTGAAAGGCTCCTGCCTTAGGAAGATTGATAGCAAGATGTGTCAGCAAAGCTGACTCTTAGGAGCACCTCTCTTGAATACCATCCATACACCCAATGCCAAAATGCCTTCAAATATATCCCTATGGTGCATGTCACCACAATCTTGAGTGTGACATCTTTTGTGGTTCTCTGATGTCTTACTGGTTTTGACTAGTATCTTTTTCTATTAATCACATATTAGTAATGATGTTTTGGTTTATAGAGATCAGGCACTTATACCCATTGAACCTTTTTTCTCTTTTCCTAACCAATTCCATTCCATCAACCAAGCAGGTTTGCTCACTTCAGTCACTTTGATTATTAACACTTTTCATTTCTAATTAGACTTGTTCCCTCAGTCTTTTATATAGCTGTGATTGACTATGAGCACAAGTGCAACACAAGAGATCTACCTATATAGTTGTGATTGACTATGAGCACAAGTGCAACACAAGAGATCTACCTTGACTGGAACCATGCATCTCCATGTCCTTGTGGCAGTCACCCAACAACAAGCGCACACAGACTGCCTTTGAGGCACAAAGGCAACTTGCGTGTGCTTGTCGCCAATTGAGCCCCACACAGACATGGTGCATTCCACTATTGAACAACTCAACGACAAAAACTATTCTCAATGGTATCTCAATTTTTACGGTTGGATGCTTGTGCATGATTGAATTGTCTTGGGTTTAAAAATTCAGAGAAATTAGAATGTTCAGGTTTGGGAATATCAGGATAAGGTGAGGTGATACATTGGACAGATCATGCTCAGACATACAATTGTCAATATTGGGACAATATTGAGAATAGTTTTTGTTATTGAGTTGTTCAATAGTGGAATGCTTGCTTCTGGTCAAGGTAGATCATAGATGACATCTTTATTTGATGAAGATTGTAGTTCACCTGGGCTCATAATCAATTAAGGCTCGGACCTGGCCTTGGCCTGACCCATTCGTGGCCTGCCCGAGCTTGGGCTCAGCAGAGATCGAGCGGGCCCGGGGCTGCCTCGTGTTTTTCCTCAAAACAAAAAAATCAAGGCCTTGTAGCCTATTTGAGGCTCTGACCCGGCCTTGACCCGGCTATGTTTCCACGCTCACCCATATAGATGAGACAAAGTATCCATTGATAGTTTCAACACCTCTGCTGAGATGTTTTACAAGAAAATTCTGCCACATCATTCATTCTTGGTGCCCAATTTTGGGCCAAAAAGCCCAAAAAAAGCCCCGAGAGAGGGCTGCTCTTGGGCATTACGGGCTTGGGCCGGGCAGGCCAACAGGCACCCCGGGGCCTCCGGGCGCGGGCCGGAGCCTTATAATCAATCACAAATGAAGAGGAAGAAAATTGAGCAAGACTCTGCTTTGATTAGCAGTGTCCTTAGAGCATTCCCGGTCTCAGTATAAATGGCCTTGGTACAGTAAATATTACTGTACCAAGGCTCAAAATCACCATTTGTGTCCAAAACATGCACTGGTGCCTAGTGATTTGGTGAAATTTAGTAAGTAGAGGTCTAGTAAATTTACTGGACCTCTACCAAGTTGATATCTACAAAGTAAGAGGCACTCCTCCAAGTTCCCCAGATCACTCTCTACTACCCTATCCTTTGATTTTGATCAATTTTGCTCATAATCGACTTTTTCAACTTTCATCATTCAACTATCAAATCAACTTTATTGTCTCATCAATCACCTAAATCAAATCAAAATTGATTCATGAAATGAAATCATTGAAACAGATCAAACAAATAAGAATGAGAGTGAACAAATGTCAAGAATAGAAAATCAAAAGATAAAAAAGGCAAGCCCAAAAACCGGTCTAAATTCATGGTAGTCAATGCTTTCCTCCACATCAGCAAGAAACCCAAGGTTGGCACCAATCAGAGTGGCAAGGACTTAAATCAACAAGTCACCAATCATTTCAATGTCAACTACCAATTTGACAGCCAAGATCTTAAATCAGTCAAAACCAAGCACCATTTCCATGGGGTGCTTGCTTGTCAACAAGCGCACATGAGTTGCCTTTGTGCCTCAAAGGTGGTCTGTGTGCTCTTGTCGTTGGGCACCTACCACAAGGACACATGGTGAAGTAAGTACATTCAATCTTGTTCAATCTTGTTACCATTCCAATTAATCAAACTGAATCAATACATTGTATTTTATGGGTGGGCCTCTTTGAAGATTGCTGCGCTCAAGCTTTCTGGCATTGTGGCCCATATTGAACAAAATTCTCCCAGTGATAACATGTAGACTGATTGGCCTGACCTTTCCATCAAGATTTACAACAAGGCCAACTCCAGAAGTCACTTCAAATATTCCCAGCATCAAGAGTCCTTTCTGCTTCTCCAAAGTGTATTTCTCCATTTGCTCCACCAGGGCCTCTAGTAATTTTAATCATCAGCATCCACTCCAGAAACCCAGCCATTGGAAAAGGTACAAGCACATCTTGCTCCTCTACGCCTCCTTGCCTCACAGTATCCAAGAAAACCAAATGTAAACAGATTCATTTTTAAAGGATGCAAAGGCTGAAGAACTTGCATTAGCGCATCAAGCACATATAATTTGGGCCAATGAATTAGCTGAACGTCTAGTAACAGCTATAGAAGTGGGCGCTGATATCAGCAGGGAAATGGCTCAAGCAGATGCTGATCCAAAGCAATCTCGGTCCACGTCAACAAGCTCAAGGTTTTTATAAGTTCAGAAGACAGTTGTCATACACCTCTGGCCAAAGAAATACTTCAACTCATGCAAAATGGCTTGAAGGAGAAATATCAAAAACCTGTTCCATTAGCTCCTGCCACTAGTACTATACACTGCCAACATAGGTGTCTTGAGTTGAGAAGCCCAAGGCATAATTGGAGGCAAACCCTCAGACAGACCTTGTCCAAGGTTATTATCTGGGGTATTCTTCTGCACTGAGAATTACCTTGGATGAAAACCTTGAAAAGCTTCTGTCCAAGGTTTGGAATCCAAGAATACCTTGGATTTTCAACAAAGATCAAATTTGTTGTTGATGGGAAGTACCCAAAGGAACGACAGCACCTCCGGTTTCCAAGATACTGTAGTGACATCGTTCAGGGCAGTACCGGGGGAGAGAAGGGTCCCTGTACGGGGATAACCACTTCTCAAGACACATGGCAGGAAGAAAATGTGAAAATATTTTTCACACCTTCTTCCTCCCTCTCCCACACGTCTATCCCATAAGCCCAAGATCTCTCACGCCTGCATCTGGAAAGCCTGGCTATCAATCCACACTTTCTCTCTTTAGTTTCTTGTTTTGCACTACACTCATCAGGAAACCATTTCTTTAAAAAAACAAGATCTATCATAAAAAGAAAAATAAAACCTCATTCAAATTTCAAAGAATTTTTTTCAAGAAAGAATGTCTTCACAAGCAACAAGGATAGAGAAGAATCTGGAAGCCTTCAACAATCAGTTAAGGCACACTAGTGAGAGATTAGCAGATCGGGCTGGGTCAGCACCACCTCCAGAAATAGAACCATCAATTGAATCAACTCCTACCTTGTCGACAACTACGGGTGGTACTAGAGGTAAAGGTCGAAAACGTGGGAAGAAAGGTAGTGCCACGTTGACTTGGGCAGCAAAAGCAGCTAGACGGTTGGCTGCGAGTGGGGCCGCCACTGAAGATACCAATGCTTCAGCTTCAGGAACCTCTACAAGTGTCAACATCTCTGGAAACGTAAATTTGAATGATAAAGAAGTAGAAGATCCTGAGGAAGGGTTAATATCGAGAGATGAAGTTAGCACAGATGCTACTTGTAAGCTACATTCTAAAATTGGTTGCTTCTACCTTGAAATCCACTCTAGGGTGATGCCGCAAAGCAATGCCACAACCGTGTTTTGTGTAGCCATCAGATGATGTTGCCTCCTAAGAGATGTGTCTGGGGGGGTCATAATTGTTGAATTTATGTCCTTTTTGTTTGAAATCGGGAAATAGCGGCGCGCTTGCCCAGCCGCATGAACACCATTACAGGAGCCAGAGTAAGTTCTCCTCAAGGGTTCCATTCTTGGTTGGCAGCCAACGGCCTCACGTGAAAAGCGAAAGATTCTGTCGAGTATGATCTGATACTCCGTGACAATTTCCTGAGGTGAGCCTCTAATCACCTCACGTCACTAAACCTGAAGACTAACCTGATACTCCGTGACAATTTCCTGAGGTGAGCCTCTAATCACCTCACGTTGTAGAACTCCTACGCAGTGTAGCGTAGGCTGAGCCGGAGAGGGGATGAAGTACCACTGGAGAGAAGGGAAGTACAACAGATGCAGTTAAGCTGCCCTCAACCTTATAAGAATCTCAAAAGTTCACGCAGAGGAGCACAATTCTAGACAAATCTTTCCTGCTACACACAATCAACACCTGTAATAATGTTATTTTATCCTTTCTACTGATAAAATCAGTACCAAACCTGGTCCGAAACAGCTCAGACAAGTCTAATGACTGTACTGGGTGGTCACCAAGGTCCTTAAACACTAAAAGTGTTTAAGCTAGGGTTATAGAAAGTCTAACACAACACTACACAACTAGGTTAATTATGCTTCACAGTCAAATTGCTTTTGAAATACACAACTGAGATCTTTGTAAGGATTGAAAAATAATAATGAAAAAAGCTGATAATGATGATGATGATGATAGAAGTTGATTAAACTTCTATAGATAGAGTTGAGATGATTGAAGTTTATTTGCCAAAAGAATTCCACTAAAAAAAATAAGAACTACCACTAAACTTGAGACACACACAGATACTACTATTTGATTACTATCTTTCCTAGATAGTTAACACAGACTCTTTCTTTGTTCAGACTTTAAAACTAAGAAATAACACTTTTAAAAGTCTAATACTTTTAAAGGACACTTTGAAATAAACACTTTAACACTTTAAATAAAACGCTAACAAAAAAACTACTCAATAAGCACCCACACACACACACTTGGACAAATTGGACAATTGGACAATTAAAACTCCCCAAATTTCGCCTCCAGACCCCCTCCTTATATACCTTTCATCTCCCTATTCGCACCATCACACTGTCTAGTAAATTTAGTCTCCTATCCCCCCAATTTACATAAGATTGACGCTTTCACACACTACTTTCCTCTCCCGCAACCCCTATTACATATTTCAATTTGTATGTAAGTTCCTTTCTCATGTCACTTCCTATTCTTTCTCTACTCATCTGTTTTTTCTCTTTCATTTCGATTTGTCACTTTCATTTGATTCCTTTTAACTTTTCTATTTAATTTAATAATTTGAATTCATTGATTTGATATGTAATTTGATCTATTACTAATTAATTTAGTATGTAATTGAATTTGTTTATTAATTTGAATTGACTCCAAATAGATTGCATCATTGTTCTTCTAATGATCTAGCTAGTCGAGTTGATGTAATAGACTTGTTTAATTAAGTTGATTTTAGTAACTTCTCGGCACTTTCTCTCACTCTAATCGACCAATCTTCCTTTTCCTTTGATTCAATTTTAAGCTTCTTTTGATGGATCTTTCAATTATGATTTGTAAGTGATTTCGCATCTGTGTTTCTTTCCAGTTTCTCTTGTACTATCTAAGTTGCTTCAATTTAATTTTGATTTAATTTAATTAATTGTTGCTATCTATTTCTTCTATTTTATTTAATGTTGTCTTTTCTCTTTTGATTATAATATCTTAAGATGTTTTCTGATTGTGTATCTTGAAATAAAATAAAATAAACTGAAGGAATTGTTGAAACTGAATTGTAATAACCTGATTGTAAATTGATTTGTGTATATTAAAATTGATCCAAAATGAAAAAAATGAAAAAAACCAAGTTTATAAAAAATGATCTTGAAGATAAAATGTAGAATTGAACTATGATGTCAAAGATGATCTTCAATAAAAGAAAACTTTGAGTTTCAAAAAGAAAATGAGGTTTTTAGAAAATATGAAAAGTAGACATGTTTTGATTTCCACAACGTCACTAAACCTGAAGACTAACCTATAAGGTTTCAGGACAGATGAAACAATAAGGAAAAATGAACAACACATAGTTCAGCGTGTTGAATCTTTTCCTCAAGTAGAATTTTGGATATGTATTTCACCTGATACTCTGTGACAATTTCCTGAGGTGAGCCTCCAATCACCTTACGTCACTAAACCTGAAGACTAACCTAAGAGACCAGACAAGACATAAACACACATTCATAAAGAGAAATTAGATAGAAAAGATAGAGATACAATGAACAAAGTCTGACCTATAAGGTTTCAGGACAGATGAAATAATAAGGAAAAATGAACAACACGTAGTTCAGTGTGTTGAACTAGCGTTGACATTGGGTAACAAACACAATTAGCAAAATAGAGAAACATAGATAAATAAAACAAGAGTACTGATGTGCTTACTCTTTTCCTCAAGTAGAATTTCGGATGAGGAAAAGAGGAAAAGCACATTTCGACACTCTGCACTATATAAGATAAAAAGGAATAGGAACTGAACAATGGTTTTACTCAATTAGATTGAGTGATTGTGTTTATATTCTTATTTACTAAATTATGTTGTTGAGTGTCGAGGAGGATATTCAAGGACTGGTGAGACTACTGTCGACATTAAATTGATGTCGAGGGAGGATATTCAAAGACTAGATAAGCTGTTCGTGATACCATTAAATGATGTTGTTGAGTATCGAGTGAGATACTCAAGAACTGATTTCATATTGTTGATATCCTTGAATGAGTTTACACGACATCTGAAACCTAGGCCGTAGAGACACGAGTTGTCTCTCAACACACCCCCTGTTTCAGGTGTCCGTGAAGAATATCTAGCCCCATTTGATCACGACAAAGTTTGAAAGGGCCAGGGTGGAGTGATTTTGTCAACGCATCTGCAAACATATTGTGATTGCTGATATGACAAAGTTGGACTATGTTCTTCTCAACTTGCTCACGAATCCAATGGTGTTGGACTTCTATGTGCTTGGTGCGCGCATGGAAAACAGCATTCTTTGTCAATGCCACAGCACCAGTACTGTCACTGCAGAGGATCGTCGCCGAGGCTTGGGTTATTGAGATGTTATCTAGGAGTCCACGCAGCCAAACTATTTCTTGCCCGGCTTCTGTGGTTGCCTTATACTCAGCTTCAGTCGACGAGAGAGAAACCGTTGTGGTAATCAAAATATGAGACCAATCAAAAAATCAAAAAAAATCGAATTTTGAATTACATCAATTATATTACATATAGTTTAATATTTACATCATTTTATCATTTAAAAAAACTTAATAAGATAAGTATAAACTATTAACAAACAGATTACAAAAAGAAAGAAAGAAAAAAAAAACATAAGAAAAACTCGAAAATAGAGGTACACAGGTTGGAAATGGTTTTCAGGGTAGTAATATTAGGTTTATGGGTTTAGTAGGGTTAGAATACGAAAGAGGAGCATTGTTTTAGTCAGCAAAAACTTTAATCTTGGTGGTTGATAAGAGAAAAAAGTTATTAACACTACACAAAAAATATTGTTTTCCGGGCAGAACACAAAAATGGGTTTGTGTCATGTTGAGATGACGGAAAATGAAATGAATTTTACCACCTAAGTCGGACCCACAAAAAAAAGTTGTACTTGAACATACCAACCTCCTCAATTCCAAGTTGCTTCACTCGATGATATTCAACTTCCAACTTGACAAAGTAGCTCAAATTGCCTTACAAGTACTATTAGCTGCGCTGGAGATGTTGCACTCAGATGCTTTCAAGTGTACATGCTAGCAGTTTAAGTTGTTTTATATTTTTCTTTGAGTCTCATAATAAAGGAATCCAATGCACTACGCTCTGCCAGCTCCATGGCGATATGTAAGCGGAGTATGACAATTGGTGATGGTTTACGACAGATCAAAGGAGTTACTATCTCCAATTTTAATTACCGCACTTTCAATTTTATTGCCCTTCATGTCCATTAAAGCGCAACAGGTGAGGTGTAAACAACTTGGCCCTGAGGGTAAGATCGTGGGGATTTTGTGGCCAAGGTCTGCCATCTTCACAATCTGTATAGTCTTCTTGCCCGACAACCGGCATCATCGATTCATCACAAAGATTCCTGTCACGGGTGTCTTGTCGACCCATTCACAAACAAACACTTACATCGTCAGCACAAACAAAAGTCTCCCAACATTATAAGCAGAAACGTGTCAACTCAGCTATCATTTGATTAGGGTCCATCAACTCGAACAAGAACCAGCTTTGGCTGGAGTGGTCCCTGCCTGTATTGTTCTCCTCGTCGAGATACATAAGCTGATGACCAGCTGCTCTGATCAAGTTGGCCGCTTGTGATCGAATAGGTCTGTCTCAATTCTTTTAGCGTTGATTGGATTGACTTCGTGATCTGGCTCAACGTAAATCTTTCTCTAAAGTTCTCTTCAGTTTCTCTCTTTCTGCTTATCTCTGTTGAATTTATCTGTGTCTGCATTAATCAGTTCGATTGAAGCGCTGAATTAGCGAAACTATACTTGATCTGACTTTGTTGAAACTCTTGATTGTAAGTAAGCATTCATCATCTTCAATCCATTTATGTGATTGATGATATTGATATTTATGGAAACACATCCACAGGAACAGACCACCTGCTTCTCAAAATGGCGAAAAAGAAGACTTCTGCATCAAACTCTCCCGCGACCAGCGGCGGAAACAAGCCACCAAATCAGGCGTCGTCTAATCCGCCACCGCTTCCTCATGGCCAACCCCCAGCACCTCCTGGCACGAAGCCTGATTTAAGTGAACAAAGCGGGACAAATGCTGTCTACTTCAAAGTTCAATCACTTTCCGACGACCTCCGTGGATTCCTCTGTCATGATTACAAAGAAAAGAAGCAAAGTTTTAAAAATCTCGACTACTATCGGATTTTTATAGTACACTTTGATCCCGGAACCACCGCTCGTCCGACCAACAGAAAAGATAAGTTAATCGAACGCTTTGAGGCAAAGGTTCTGCCTCTCATCAAGACCTATCAGTTTCCTGCGCCTCCGATACCAATGCAGACAGACCAACCTTCTCGAAAGGACTTCAACCCCCTTGCTCGAAGGACTAAGCGCGCTGACCTCGTTCACGCCATCTTACAAGCCAAGCCTAAAACGGTTATACCAACATCCGCAAGGGGAGATGGCCTGCTCTATCTATACAAAGAGCACGTCGACCCAGATCTCGTCATTCCAGGTTATACCAAATTCATCAAGCCGCCCAATGTCGTTCGACGTGCAGAAGTCAATACCCTTTTTATGGAAGATCTTCGCCTTACCTTGCAAGACCAAGCCCCCCACGTTTTTGTACATTCGATCCCGATGACTCATCCTGTACTTGTCAATCTATATATCAAATTTGTTCTCGAAGAAGAGGTCGAGCCTGGTCTTTTAGTATGTGGTTTTCACTACTCGCTCTTGCGCGAGAAACCCTGATTGCGTGTATCAAAGGTCAGTTCAAAGTGCTTTTATTTTTATCCATTTTTTACTTGGCCTAATCATCTCTTGACTAACACTGAAATTGATTCTACCCACCACTCAACAGAACAATCCTATTTGAAAGAATAACAAACTTCCCATACTTGATACGATACCTCCATGTCATCTCTAACTCGTGGTTTTCATTCTGTCACATGTTTTGGTAGTGTTTCCCTCATCTAAGCCCCACTGTAGTTTTAGCTCGAACACCTCTCTATTCAAGTCTGGAGCATGTATCTGCAACCCTTGAATATCATTTGTAACACTTTGCGCGAGTCCTTTGTAGGCAAACAGATCTCAGCGTGGATAAACCTTCAACGCCTCTGCCCTGACTTTGTTGATTTTAGTGTTTCGGCGATGAGACAGAGACATAAAATTAATGTTAGTTTATACTCAACATGCAGTTTCAGAAGACCTGGGAATGTAATCAATATCATTGTATCTTGAAGTTAGAAGAAGTTACAACAATCATGATATGATAAGAGCAGTTATAGTTGTAATGAAATATGAAGGTTTCATGAATGACCTTTTCGTGTGACTTCCTTTTTGAGATCCCCTACTCCTTACAGTCTTGCCTTCTTTACTAGATTACAAGGTAAAACCAGGTGAAACCTCTACGCCTCATACAATCATTTATCAAAACCCCGTTTTCTAGATCATTGTTGCAGACTACTATTCCAAGGCAGGCTTCATCACATCACATGAATGCTAGTCCCTTTCCAATATTTGTGTTCGGACTTTGTTTGTAAGGACCACATCGGGAATCGAGAAAACTTTCCTTGTTTTTGTCTAGCACTTGAAGTTATATCAAACTATTCACAACAGCTTGCTATTTCCCGTCAGTCAATTTTACAGAAGCCTTGCTCTCAAGTTTCAGCGAATCAGAAGCCTGTCCTTCCATATTTTGTGACAAAACTGCATTATCCACCTCATCAATCCGCTAATGTCATCCGGCAAATCAACAAAGAAGAAACATAGCGCACATTGAGTGCCATGTGTCTGTCGCGCGTATAACTGTTATCTTCATCAATACGTCAATCCTGATGGAGTGACTCGATCTGGAGTGGAGGTCCTGCCTGATACGCTTACCGCTCATGAACTTGCCGACAGAGTAAAACAAGCAACCTCTGGTATATCTGCCCAAAAGAGGCCAACTACCGTTCACGATGCTCAAAACGAGACTGCTGGTCAAGATGCGCTTCTTGGACCCATGTCAAACTTAGGCTTGGATCATATTGGTCCTTCATCACTAACACACGCTAGTTCAAGTCATGTGTCTCAGCATACAAAACAGTCGACCGAAACTAATAGAAGACCTTTGGTGTGGCCGGGAGACGAAGCCTTGCAATCTGAAAGACAAGATCGCCAGCCAGTCCTGACTACTCGCTCACAGTTGAAAGGACGTCTTCTCGATCAGGATTCTGATGATCAGTCATCTCTTCTGACTAAGATTTGCACTGCTGCTACTTCAGCGAAGACAGCTGGTGTCCCGGTATACAATTGTGGTACGTCGATTTTAACAAACCACTAATGATGAAGTGGATGATTGATTGGAGAGATAACATGTGGTTTCTATTCCTCACTGCAGATCGATTCTATGAATTCACTCTGAGAGAGATGAACCCGGTTCTACTTCACGCGGTTCTTGTTGCAGCAATCCTGAGTATATTTGGAAATTTGTCAATGAAGACAGCTTCTTGGCTCCTAGATTGTCTCAAAATCTTGGTCGAGCTGTGTTTGACAGGCGCAATCAACATCTTTCAACCTCGGGACGTTTTGACTGCTTCAAATGAGATAATCTTGAATCAAATTCCTAAAACAATCACCACTGTAATTAAATGGTTGAACGTTGAACCTGATCTTATGGAAATGAATTGTTGTCAACTATGCTTCGCTCTATACCCACTTGATCGTACACCAAGAAAATGCAGTCATCGCTATTCTCAAATACCTGGCGGGCCACCTGATTTATCTGATACCACGGACCCCAAAGTCCAATCCTCAGAAATACCTTACGAACCCGATACATCAGAGTTCGAGGAAAAAACGTGTGGTCATCCTTTGTTACATTTCAAACGTGGGAAAGAGAGACCGATAAGGAGATACGCATTTCAGAAACTTTCGGATTGGATTGCTCGATTACTATCCCGTCCTGGTATTGAAGAACGGCTCGATGAATCTCTTGAGGAATCTCGAAAACCTTTCAATCCGAAAAGTAAAATGAGCGACATCTATCAGTCACCGGTATGGAAAAACTTTCGAGCTCCTGATGGGACACAGTACACTGCAAAGAGCGTAAATCTGACCTTTGGAATGTTTGTCGACGCAATCAATCCTTATGGAAATAAAACAAGTGGAAAACATGCCTCAATCACATTTGTGGTTTTGGTTTGTCTTACACTTCCACTAGATATCCGACATCTACCTGAAAATGTATTCTTAGTTGGTATAGCACCTGGTCCTCGAGAACCTTCACTGGAGCAAATGAACTGGATACTTCGTCCAATTGTTACCGAACTTCAAGCTTTATGGAGACCAGGCCTGCTTTTATCAAAGACCTATCAATACAGTGAAGGCTGTCTTATTAAGGCAGCATTATTACCATTTATAGCAGATATTCCTGCTCTTAGAAGGTCTCTTGGTTTTCCAAGTGCAACGGCGACTCATTTCTGCTCGATTTGCCACCTAAAAAAAAGGATATCAATATTTTAGATCCAACAGAATGGCCGCGACGCACAGCAGAACATCACAAGATGTGTGCTTGTCAAGCTCGGGATGCAATCAGTGTTGAAGAGAGACAGAAAATATTTAAAACTCACGGGATTAGGTATTCAGTACTGGTGGAACTCGAATATTGGGATATCATTGATTATCATGTTGTTGATTCCATGCATAACTTACTACTAGGTCTACTTTCATGGCATCTACGTAGGTTTTGGTCTATGGAAGAAAAAGTGAATGAAGAAGATGAATTACCTCCAATATCTAAAGTTGAACTTCGCGAGCTGGTCCTTGAACACTCCGCACCACCACCAAAAGCTGATTATGAAGAAGACTTGGAGAATCTTGAAGAGGGAGACAAAGAGGATACCTTTTGCTTTCAGAATGTATCTTTTGGAGATGATACAAATAGCAGTGATGAAGATTTCAATCCGCTTGGTGATCCTGGATGGGATGGGAAATGGAACGCGCCACCTGTTGACAAAATCATCTTTGATGAAAAGATGTTGCACTACATAAATTCTTGGTTGCCTCACATCAACATTCCAAGCTGGATAAAACGTGCAATACCAGTAATTGGTAAAGCATCCTTTGGAAAGCTGAAAGCAGATGAATGGCGAAACTTATTTACTCTCCAATTACCGCTCATCCCGATTCCACTGTGGTTTGGCAAGGATCCGGTGAAAACCTCCCTTCTAAAAAATTTCCTTCATCTAGTCTCACTTGTCAATCTTGCCCTCAAGCAAGACATAACATTTGAGCAAATTGAGCAGTATGATCGCCATATTCAAAAATACCTAGAAAGCTCCTTAAAATTGTTCCAACACTGTCATCTTGCTCCGAACCATCATATGGCAATTCACTTGGGAGATCTTCTGAAGTGTTTTGGTCCAGTTCGGTCGTGGTGGTCATTCTTCTTTGAAAGACTGATGGGCAGGATCCTGAAGGGATGCCATGACAACCACATTGGTTAGTACCTTAGCTTACTCTTACGTATGTTATACTAGAACCCAAGACTTTGTTTAATAGTACTTTTGTTGACTACCAGGTGAGCTCGAAATTACCTTTCTCAAAAGGTATTGCTCTGCGGGAAACCTGGCAGCGCTTTTGTGCGATCGGAAACTTCCGGAAGCTTTGAAGACATTCACCGCAAGGATCCAGTCCCTTTATGACGAGCCAAATGTTTGTCCAAAGAAAAAATCAAATGGAAATATGATGCCCATCAACAATAAAGTTTTAGGTATGCTCATTGATCGACTGAATGCACACAAAGGGGAAGTGTGTCAATGGATGGCACCCGAAGATTACTGCTTGCTTAGTGAAGATGAAGCAGTGGGTAAGTCTCCGGTTCAAGCTCGAGCATTATTCCACAAACGCGTAACACACATGGATGTGTCATTTTTGGTCTTCTCAGCAAGTCAAAAAGACAGCTTTGTGGCATTCAGACTTGGACCCAAAAAAGTTGCCTTTGGACGAATTTTTTCTATATTTGAACACCTGACCTTGTCAAAAACATCACAGCGATGTTCTCAAATGTGGCTACAGGTTCAGTGTTTTCCTGAGATACCTGAAAAACTCGGAAATTTGGATCCTTATCATCTAGTTATGGCTCCTGAAGTGCAAGTATACCTACATGCTTGGGGACCAACCAAAGATTACCTTATTAAAGTAGAAGAAATAGTGGCGCACTGTACATGGATGATGTACCGGCCTAGCCTTATTCACAAGGAACTGGACATACCTACTGTGGCACTGGTTATAAATCAACAATAATAAGTTAGAAAAATCAATTGAAATTTTATTTTTGATGTGGTGTACACAGATATATAATGTGCTACAACTTCATCAGATTGGAATTGAATAAATACATGATATCTGCTTTTGTGATGTCAAGAAGTTTGGTTTTGTATTAGCTGTGTGCCCAAAATGAGAACAAAATTAACATCCGTATTAAACCTCAATAATTGAGCTCATCCAACACCGCAAGGATTTCCAGTAATATAGGTTTCTCGTCTATGTGGAGTAAAGCTTTCTCATTGGACGAGAGTCTTTCTAGATAGGGCTGTGCATAGCAGTCCTTCGGTAAATTTTTGGGAGCTACAATCTTACTAGGAGGTGCATTCGGCCGACGGAGACGAGGACGAGAGGGGCGGCCGCGATTGGGGGAGGAGGTTTTTGGAGCAAGACTTTGTTTGAGCCGCACTTGAGAGTCTTCTAGGCGTTTCCAGACGTTGGACAGTCCTTCACTGCGCCACGGGAGTGCTCGTACAATAGTTGCCGTGCTTTCGCCAGGTGATGAGGTTATTGATATGCCCTCAGTATCAGTCTCATCATCGCTGCAGGTAGTTTCAATGAGTGGTAAAAGACGCCATAGTTTCTGGGTATCCATGACCGTTTTTCTTCGTGCTTTTTTGAGCTGTGAAGTTGTACGTGCATTCAAATCAGCAATTTCAACAGTGTTGAGGTGCACTCAACTGGAAACACTCACGCGTTCAAGCCGTGTGACTCGTCTGTTAGCAACACCTGCCGCTATTTTACGCTCGGTTTCCCACTGTTCCGTACGATGTCTAAATAGATTACGGTAATGCATTGAGAAGATCGGTTCCAAGTCCAGAAATAGGAAAATTGGAGGCAGTATCACAGACTTACCTCTTCTTAAGGGTTTGAAAATGGGAATCAAAGCATTCCTTGATGTACTCCCTATTTGTCCTATCCAAAGATACCCCCGGGTACTCACCACACTCAACCAACTTGATAAAAATCTTCTCTGCAATTCCCCATACCCACTTATTTTCCGGTGACTGTGCAGATTGTGAAAAATCTGGCCGAAAGCTTTCCATACCTACCGCGTTCATTAACTTCCACATCACAGCCAGCTGCTGAGGAGTTGCATCAGGATGACCAGGGCCGTCCGGGTATGGAAAATGCGGATCAATGGGATTATGATCGTCAGGAGGCTTGGGTAAGTTTTCTAAGTCAAATTCTACATCCTCAAGATCTTTCTCGTACATCCAGCGATCCTTCTCTTGAGAGGCAGCAGGTGGCGGAAGCGGGTTAGTTTCTGATGTTCTCCCTAGCATTGCATCGATATGAAAGCGAATATGGACCTGCATCAAACCAACCAAAGGTCAAATCACTGCGAAAAAATTATGATCAGCATGTTCAACACTTACTGCTGTGCGGCCACCTCGAGCGGTTTTCTTAGCCCCTTTATTGCCATTCGCATCCACTAAATCCTTCACCACTCGAGCCAAGGTGTGGTACTCATCTGTAAGTAATTCGACCTTGTTGTTGGTGATCAGCAATAGTTTTTTGAGTTCGCTGTATGAAATTTTATCCCCGTTGTCCATTCCTCCTATGATCACATTGACTGTCAGTTTATTGTGTATATTTCAAATCATGAGCTTTAATAACATTGGAGCTCACCCGAGTTGTTATTGAAATCAGTGTCCATTTTTTCTTCCATTCCTCCCGTGGTTACATTGACGTTAGTGCATTGTGTATATTTCAAATTGTGAGGCTCAAAAAATACGGGAGCTCACCCGAGTTGTTGTCAAGATCAGCATCCATTCCTCCTATGATCATATTGACTGTCAATGTATTGATATATCTCAAGTTATGAGATATATCAAAAAATATTGTAGCTCACCCGAGGTGTTGTTGCCATCAGGCTGACCCAAGTCCTCACCCGAGTTTGCACTCGGACTTACACGACCTCTGGTCTTTTTTGTTTTCCCTTTGAAGGCTGTAAAAGGCGCTTCTTGGTCTGAGTCATCCTCAATTTGCACACGAGCTCGTCCCTTCCCTTTGTTTCTACGCTTGGAAGAAGAGGGTGGCATTGATCGATCAGAGAGGTCATCGACTAGGATTTCGGGTGAGTGTCTGGTGTTTGAGTTCCTAGGACCTGCTGTAGAATATGACTCAAGGAAGTATCAGTCCAAGATATACAGCAAAAAAACGTTTCAGAAAACTTGCGCTTGTCGTTAGAAAAAGATGGTGGCACTGATTGATGCAGTTCAGAATTTGCAGTTGCATCGTCTTCCAGGGGTTGATGAATCAGAGGTGAAAAGCTGGTTGGAAGTTCTTGCGAGTCTTGTGTATTTGAATTGCTAGAGCCTACTGTATGAGGACTCGGAATCTTATCAGATGTGCAGAGTATGAAAGTGGGAAATTATGAAACAAACAACCTCACCCTTAATTATTTCCTCAGCTTGAGATCGAAATGTGAATTCGAAAGATGGCTTCGACTTACTTGATGTTGGACGATTTGGCAAGATTACTGAAATGTTACAAAAGTAGTGAGATACAACCATGTTTGAGCGTGAACTTGTGATACTTTTGCTACCTGATATAATAGAGAGTTCATTGTACTTACTTAGATCTTGATATATCCGGCAGTTTCGGATCAACTCATCCTTGTCCATCCCCTTACTGTCAAGCCCAACTTCCAACACCATCTGTTGAAGATCCGTAACATCAAACCTTGAGTAGTCAACCTTGCTTGATGAGAATTCTTGTTCCTCCTCCACGACATCAACTTTTTCTTGACATTGCTCCTGACAACTACTTTCAGCATGTGGGCTTGATGTTTGTGGGATACTTGGAGGACTCTGAATTATAGGCGCCTGAACCTCTGGATTTGATGGTTGTGTAATTGTCGTTTGAGAGGAATTTGATGGTTGTGTAATCGTTGTTTGAGAGGGATTTGATGGTTGTGCAATTGTTGTTCGAGAGGGATTTGACACGTGTTTCTTCTTTTGGACATGCCGATCTAAAAGGCTTAACAGACGGTTTCGAGAAGCTTTTGGACCCGCCAATTTCTTGACTTCATTCGAAGTTGATGTCCCTGGAAAATTCACGAGGATGCTTAGCTGGGAAGTTGTACTTCGTCATGGAATTCAACTTCAGATGAGTGTAACAGCCGACTTACCACCTGATGGTTCATCATCTTCACTACGTAAACTTCCTTTCCTTTTCTTCGAAGGTGCCGAAAAATCTGAATTGTTGTCGCTTTGCACAACCTGAGTTTGATCCCGGTTACTGCTCGTGCGACGGCTTGGACCTGGTGCTGATGGTGCTGAAGTATCATTGCCTTGCTCTACTGGATTTTGGTGCTGTTCAGAAAGTCGACGCTGGTTACGAGTCATGCGACCACTTGGCATTGGAATTTTTGGAAGTCTGTCCATGTAGCCGGACGTGATTGAACACAGAGTGAAAATGTGAAAATGTGAAAATGTGAAAATGTGATATGAAAGTTTGAGAGTTTGAAAATCCTGTAGACCAGCCTACAGAATCAAAACAAAGAATCAAAGGTGTGATTGCAAACAATTAGAAACGCAAACTGTTGAAGTATTAGTAAACAGACTATAAGTCCCTATACATGGATTGAGTGAGAGAACAGACTACATGTCCATCGATGCGGTTGAAATTGCGATCTCAGAGGGAATCTGCGGACATGGTCTGCCGATTCGATCATGATAAGTAGTCTAATAAATCTCATGACAAAGAGGATCCTTTTGGTGTTCCGACTTTGCCTCGTAACCATTGTTCTACAATCACAAATTAGTATGAATTGTGTTCATCTGTAAAAACTATGATGTTAGTTACCGATTGAAAGCCTTTATAATACAGATTGAAAGCCTTTATAATCCTATATCTACGTTGACCACTTACTTGATGTCCTTTAATGCCTTTGCAAGCAAACGACCGAGAATCATCAGTGGTAGTACGAGTTCAGACAGAGGGTTGGTTTCTTCATTGATGTTGGTTACTTACGCACCCTTGTTCTTCAGATTCATTAATCACTATCATTCATTGGAAGCGGTGTGTATTAAATCTTTGAAGTATGGGTCGAGAGCCAGATCAGTACGTAATTAATAAGCTATTAGAAAGTATGTACAAAGTCTTAATTAGTCGTGGATCAGGTTGGGGTCCATCCAACTTGTGAGTTTGTATCATAATGCTCATGTCTGCTCATGTATGTATGATTGGCTACCTTCCAAAGACTAAACTCCCTGTTCCACCTGGTTCTCCTCCGTGCTTTGATCAAACTTGGTTTATACAATAACCTTGGATAAACATCTTACCTCCAAGACCAAAGTAGAGCGGGACTGGCTGTTTGAATGAAAAGCAGTACAACATACTTCTGATTAACATAAAAAATGTGTCGCCCCAATCCTGCAGTCTACTTCCTCGTGATGGTGATCAACTGCCATGGCTATGTACATGTAGAGAAAGCGGCGATTAAAAGTTATAATTATATGAATCAGATAAACAAGATATATTGTGAGTCTTTAAACGCCTCCACAGACTTTTGCCCTTATAACCGACATATATTAATTACGATCAAGATAGGCACTGTCGGCATATACCCTCACGCTTTGTATAGCCTACTCATCCCTCTATTGCGCTTTCACTTGGCACAAAAGTGCAGGATACATAAAAGCCACGAACCCAGCCTGATTGATCGCTTGACTTCGTGAGGTCGTATTTTCACTTTATACAGATTATCAATCTTCTTTGGTCGATCGTAAGTCTACAACAAGCTCATTCACCAAATCACCACCTTATTGCATTTCATCTACTTTATCATGTTTTCGAATCAATATCACTATATTTCTGACATGACCACTTTGATCATAATGATCTTTTTGATTCATCCGATAGACAATTGCAAAACAAGATTTTTGATAACAGATATGTCGCAATGAAACGGTTCACAAAATGCTCACAAAGAGACTTTGAAAACACTGCGTGAGGATTTCACATTATTTATAACATGATGATCTGGTGATTTAATGCTTTGACAATTTGAATGTAGTCGAAGAGTTGCAAGATTCATTTTCTTACTTGAGAACTATACTTGGAGATCTCGAGAAAAAGGTCGATCAGGGCATGTTACAAATTCGAGAACAACAAGATGAACATGGTATGTTACTCGACTCAGATTCTGGCAGTGGTAGGTCTAAATCCCGTCAGCTAACTCCTTTGATATTTCAGGCTGGGAAATCAACCGCCATTCCAATCTTGTGACACACGCGCTCAAAGATTTTCATATGCTTGAGGACAAGGTTGAAGATTTAGAAGTTGACCAGATTAATTTACAACACCAACTGGACTGTGCTCATACTCGTCTCATGGGACACAAGAGAGTTCTTAAGAAATTTATTGAAGGATCTGGAAGCATCGACCTTCAGGCTGAAATTGATTCTGACCCTGACTTATATGATTACAAACAACCCCGCACTGATCAGAACACTTCCTCCGAATGATTATAACATCCTTGTCTGTGATTGACTTAACACATGTTAGTATTTTATTGTAGTTCCAATTACATATGTCTTGCTCTTTCATGATACTCAAATTATACTTGATTCTAAGATCTTGAATTATACTGTGACTTACATTATCATATGTTCTACTTCTCTCTGTATGTGGAGCTGGCAGAATTGTAACAGCTGGAGTAGTCGATTGATTTAGAATTTTATGGATACTGTTTTTCGGAGATGAACCTTGGCAATCATAAAAATAAGATCTTTTGGCATTGTAGTGAGTTATCAATTTTGATACGAGTTTGTTAAATTTGAAAGCTTCTGTAATATAATTGGTGCATTATAGATAGCTTATAACTTTGAGAGTATCTCGAAAAAAGAAAAGGTACAAATCTCTTGAGGTGAAAGAATACATATATATGTATATGGCCGGTGTAGTTACTGATTGATCAACTGATGATGAGTGATGATAAAGTCTGGCACAAACATCATATCCAAAATAGGTTATAACTTTGAGATTTTCTCGAAAAAAGAAAAGGTATAAATCTCTAAAGTGAAAGAATACATAGCGAAATCTGGTGTAATCTTTAATTGTTCAGCTCAAATTGTTTACCAAAGTTATTCTTTGACAAGTCTACTAACTATGAAGACCATATGGAATATAGAATAGAAGAATCCGCTGTGTGAGCTTTGGGTCTCATCAAAAGCGGTGATCGTTCAACAAAATCCGACTTACGCGTCTTGTGAAGCAGCGTCGTAAGTAGGAGGTGCAGGGTCTTGGTCACCCGCTTCGCGACCTGCTTCACCATCTTCTTCATCAGCCTCTTCGTCGGAATCGAGGCATTCGGAGGTGGTTGTTTCGTTGTCGTGTGTTGCAAGTACTACAGTCGAGCGGAAGATAAAACGAGTCACGTACCAAGTAGCTGAATGTGCTACTGGTGGAGTGTGCGCTCGCGGGAGATATAGCTCGTGGTGACAAGCCCGTTCACTGTGTAAGTTAGGCAGTTCTACGTCAGTACAATCTCAAAATTTTCATTTGTAAAAGGAAGGATACTGACGCTTGCTCCCTGATGATTGCACTCAAATGACCAATATTGCTGCTGATTGAATCAAAGCTCGCTTGATCAGCGGCTAGAACTAGTTTTGCTGTCTTTGCCATTCGAGGCAAAACGTGCGCATCGCATGTATCGACATTGGGGCGAGATAGAGTATGGGTAAAGAAGGCGATGTGACATCGATCCTCGTGGAGGTGCGCAGCCATCGCCGAGGCTTCAGCCAGAAGTAGGTCCTTATGGTGCTGAAGGTCGTAGAGCTCGCTGGTGTTTAGAGCAAAGTATTCGAGTGCATGTCGATTGACGCCAGCAGATGCACTTTGAAGGTTTCCTCTATCAAGGGCCCATACAACATTCATTCGAAAGGATCGAGCCCGCGCGGCGTTCGGATCCTCAGCAACAGTCGATGTTCCTTTGACCCGGGGTGTTTGATCAGCGGGAAGGAAATCACTGGGATGAACTAAATATATGAGGTCGAAATAGGTGGGTTTATCGCCTGCAATATCGCGGACATTTGACATGATTGAGACAGACAAGATGAAGATTGGTGCAATCTGAAAGTACAGCTTAGAATATTTGAAATTCTGATGATATGTTTGAGTCCTGAGAGGGATATTGATGGTAGTCGAGTAACTTAGCTATTCAAATAGATGTGACCACTAATTGATTGGCTTTGACCACCTTTGATCAAAGGGAAGTAGGTTCTTGTGTATTCTATTGACGTGGCACACGTTGTTGTCCGCGATACTGGAGGACCCCAATTTGATAAGTATGAGTTATATGAGCAAGTGAGCCCATTCGAGAGATGTGACCATTAATTAAACGGCTTTGATGACCTTCAGGCTTTTATCGAAATCATCCTGAATGTAAATTCTTGTGTCTTCTGTTGACGTAACCGAGTCTTGAGACGATCTACCTCCGGTGGGATCGACACAACTACTTGGATCACAATGGGATATACAAACTGCATCATCCACATACCAATTAAGCCTTTCAAGTTCTCAACCTCACGTTTATTCAATAGAGATGGTAGAGCATAGTAAACCCACTTGCTTATGATGGGTGTTGAGGTTCAAAGGGTTCAACGATGGAATCAATTATGAGACAAGATGGATAATCATCCAATACAATTCCCGAACTCCGAAGAGGCTACGTCCAAGCTGATGAAAGATGATCAATTGCTATATCACAAGAGCCATGGTACGGTGGAATTGTGCTTGACATCTGACAGAAGCAAATTTAATTCTCAAAACAACTGAACTATTTGTTGTAAAAATAACATGAAGTGTGGATACAATGTAATTCTGTACATTCCGATGATGAGACAAGAGGATACAATTTGGTTGGTGTTATAGGTTTGAAGTTTCATCCTCTTCCTCGTCTGACTGCATCAATCGCTCGAGTATCTCTCCATGAGTGATGATCTCGTCATGATCAATGGCTACTTCCTGGCACAAATTGCCAACTTGAGTTTCTAGATGAGCTACTTTTGAATCAAGTGTCCCCGTAGACCGTACGTTTTTCTCTAGGCGCCCATTAGATTCTTCAATCAATTGAATCTTGTTTTCTAATATATATGAGATGGCATCAGCTGAGGCAAACCTTCAGCCAAACACAAGACTATGCATACCTTGATCTTCAAATTTCATCTTGTATTCAAGTATGTCAGCACTTAAGTGGCCGACTTCCTGCAGAACCTGACTCAGGGATTTTTCAAGCTGGCAAACTGAATAGAAAGAATTAATGTGTGAATAGAAGGAAAAGGAATAGGACATGCAAAAGCTTACTACGCTCTTCGCGTCCCCTTTCCTTGATAAACACATCAACACCATATCTTTTCTTGCCAATTGCAGTGGTGAAAGAAGTTGGGGGAATATCCTTGCCGACCACTAGAGACGTTATCCAAACATGATCAGCTCACTCCACAACAAGAGGCAATGAAACAACAAACCGAGATTTCCGATGTCCATACATTCAGTATTGGAGAATTCAATGAGATCCATCTGTGCGTTGTTCTCAGTTTTTTCTGGTTTCTTGTGGGAGGGCCGGCGTTGACCATTGCTTGAAATGTCGTTTGGGATGATCACATTGTTGTTTCGAGGATTTGACTCACTGACAGATATTCCAGAAGGCAAGGGGAGGGATTCTCGGAGTTCGTTCAAAGGTTTCATCCTCATCAATGGTGAGTGGTGTTGCAGCAACGGGTAAAGTGGCCGGGTGGGCACTCTGCTGGATCACATTTCCAAATGAGCTCGTAGATTTTGTATTGACAGGCTGTGAGGAGTGCGTATGTGAGGGTTGGGTACTCAGTTGAGGACTCAAGGCTCACTAGATGGCTAAGGAAGGTTTGCAATTTTAATAATTATCTTTTAGATTTCAATTATAAAGTAATTACAATTGGAAATTTAAGAAAGAAAAGAAAGGGGGGAGAGAAGACTGGTCTGTTTGGATAAATCCAGACAGACTACAGTTAAATGACTCCTGAAAAGGAGATTTTAAATATAATTATAATTAATTATAACTGAAAACTGGATCCAAGGTTTTCCTTCAAACCTCTATTGACACTATGAAGAGTGAGGTCTAGATCACTACACTGGTTGTTCTTATGGTCACCAACCTTGGGTTGTTCTTATGGTCACCAACCTAAGTACTTATATATAGGCCACTACCCTGTGAGTTGTTGAAGGTCACTAACCTAGTAAATAATCTACTTGGGGAAAGTAGAGGATCCAGAAAATAGTTGAAGGGTGTATTACTTACTTTTAGTCAGGAACTGTTTAAAGTAGAGAAGTAAATCACTAGTCTTAATTTATAAGACCCTTGATTATGAACTTCTATATTACTTTAAAGATGTTCTTTAAAAGTGATGTGTAATAAAAGCTTGGGGATCCCTCTCTGAAGGCTGAGAGAGGAGGAGTTTATGTACTCTCCTCTCCAGACCTAACTGTAGTGATATTTGTTTATATCACTGCAGTGGTTTAGGGTTTAATTATTACTGTTATTTATGATTATTATTAATACTACATAATTACATATACCTGTTATGTAATTTATGTAGTATAAGCATTTTTAACTCTTGACACTGAGTTATGAGGTGTTATGAGTGTTTTATTACATATTACATATGATTTTAAATGTATATGTATATGTAATTAGGTTGTATATACGGTTTATTACAAGTTACATATGTTTTGTAGGGTTTATGTACATGTAATTAGTTGTCTAAAGGTGGTTATCTATGTTACAAGTTAGTCTTTGGGTACATACATATGTATCCAGGGCTGACATTCCCCACCCTCAAAGGAGGTCATTACTTCTTTTCAGAAGGTTTATGAGCTCTTTTCTGGGCTCTGAATTCTCGCAAGGTAGTTTTGTTATTGGGTACTTTATCTGCTGGTAGCCATTCATCTTCATCTGCGCTCCTATTCTTATATCTTACAAGATAGAGTGTAGTGAATTTACCATTAACTTGCGTATCTCTTTGTTTTATTATGTGTGAGAAAATCTTTTCTCCTTCAGTTTCAAACCTGATAGGGGTTTTCTTGGGTATTTCCCTGTTGGGGAATTTGCTCTTGTCAGAAGCGTGAAACTTCTTTATTAATGAGATTGGCAATACAGGATGTTTTCTCCCAAATTCCTCTGTCAATGCTACTTCTACTGCATTGCTTCCATGGAATTTTAATATCACAAAAGGTCCAACAAATTGATCTTGAAGTTTCTTGGGTCCTTGAAGATTATTAAAGTTTGTAGTGGAGAGTAGAACTTGTTCTCCTACTACAAACTTAGGTTCTTTATGAGTCTTGTTCCATCTCTCTTGGTTATAAGTTACGGAATCTTCAATACATTGGGCTGCTCGAGCTCTTGCTTTACCAAGCATATCAAAGAAACTCAAAGAAGTTGGATGAAATTCAACATTTTTATTCTGAATCTGGTCTTTTGGTAATCTAGGACAATAACCTCTTTCTACTTCAAAAGGTTTCTTCCCTGTTGTGCTATGTATGCTGCTATTATATGCTAATTCTAGGGCTGGTAGTAATGTATGCCAGTCATGTGTATGTCCATCTTTATCTGTGTAGCAGAGTCCTTCAGTACAATATCTCCTGATGATTTCAGTTAAGGTACTAATATTCCTTTCACTGAGGCCATCAGTCTGTGGGTGGTATGTAGTGGAAAGAGCTAATGTTGTTCCAATAAGTGTATGCAGACTTTTCCAAAATTCAGAAGTAAACTTTGGATCTCTGTCACTGATGATGATTCGTGGCAGTCCTACATCACTTATTATCCTTTCCCAGAATAGTAATGCAATGTCCATTGCTGTTGCTTCTTTGTAGCATGGTAAGAACCTTGTTCTTTTTGAAAATCTGTCTACAATGACTAGTACACACTTGTAATTGTTAATTAATGATGGTGGAAGACCAGTAACAAAATCCATGTTAATGACTTCCCACGCATATGTTGGTTCTTCTATTCTTTGAAGTAGACCAAATCTTTTTCCTGTGGCTTTGTTTGCTTTTTGGCATCTTTCACAAGTTTTTACATATTCTTCAACATCTTGTCTCCAATTTGGCCACCACGCTGTGCTTTTGATTCTGTCTATTGTCCTGTCTTCTGACAAGTGTCCTGACATAAATTCATCATGGCACACGTGCAATGTTTGTTGAATGTGCTCAGTAGTTATTATTACTAAAACCGCAGTATGCTTTTCCCTAAAGTATAGTAGGTCAGATTCAAGTGAAATTTTTCCTTGAGCTAATCCATCTTTCCAAGGTTGCTCAAGTGTGCTTGACAGGCTCAAATCCGTATTACGTGCAGACAATATCCTGGTAAGTTTAGCTGTGTTACTATTCTTTTCATAACTAGCTTTCACCTCATCAAAGAATTCTTCAGATAATTCACATAAACTAATTCCCATCACAGGAATGTCCCTTTCCATCTCCTCTGGTTCCCATGCTGGGTTACTGGAATCATTTGGCAGTGCCATTCTACTAAGTCCATCCGCATTGTTATGGAATTTTCCTGGTCTATGTGTAATTGTCATAAATGGTTTATACTCTTGTATTGACATCATCCATCTCAACATATGTCTACTTGGAGATTTGAGATTTGTCAGAGACCTTACTCCAGTACAATCTGTTATTACTTCAAAGTAACTACCATCAAGGTAGTAGTGTATTTTTCTAAGGCCCACACTAGTGCTAAGGCTTCTAGTTGTGGCGAAGAATATCTGGTTTCAGTGTCTGTCAATTTTCTGGATATAAACACAATTGGCCCTTCCTTTGGTTTTCCGTCAATTATCTGTGTCTGATGGAGTGCTGCGCCTAAACCTTCAATTGATGCGTCTACGTAAAGTTTAAAAGGTTTCTCAAAATCAGGGTGAAACAAGATTGGTGCTGTTGTAAGTATTTGTTTTATTTTATTCACTGCATCAATTCTTTCTTTTGTCATTTCAAAAACTACGCCTTTAGCATAAAGTTTGTATAGGCTACGCGTAATGATTCCAAAGTTTGGAATGTGAGCTCTGTAGTAGCTTGTAAATCCTAAAAATGAACTCAGTTCTTGTTTATCTTTTGGACAAGGTTTTTGTAGGACTGCTGCTACAGAGTTTTGGTCTACTGCTACCCATAGTCCTGATACACGATGGCCTAGGGCTTTACATTCTTCAAAACCAAAATGGCATTTCTTTAAAGATATGGTCATACCCATGGCTTTGGCTCTTATCAATACTTTTTCCATTGCTTCTAGATGTTCTTTCCACGTAGTGTGAAAAACTATGATATCATCAATATATACCTTGAGCCATCCTTCCCTTAATTCTTTTGAAAATTCTGTATCCATCATTCTTTGAAAGAAAGCTGGAGCATTTTTGATTCCAAAAGGCATCCTTATATATTCAAAAATTCCCAAATGACAAATGATTCTGAGAAATTTCCTGCTACATATTTCCACGATGTTCTGGTGGAATCCTTTCATTATATCCATTAGAGTAATATGTTTTGCATTAAAAAGGTTAGTCAAGGATTGGTCTATTCTTGGCAAGGGATATCTATCAGGCTTGGTGTACTGGTTTAGAGCACGAAAATCTCCGCAAAGTCTAGATTTATCATTGTGCCATGCTATCAGAACAGGTGAAGTTATATCAACTTCCTCATCACTACCCACTTTTCGTATTACACCCATCTTAAGTAATTCTTCAATGTGTTTTTCTATTTCTTTTCTACTTCTTGGGCTAGCTGGATATGCACCTTTCCTTAGGATGGGTGGGTAAGGTTTGTCTATTGTGAGTTCTATTTTCACCGGATGGTTCTTAATAACTCCTAGAGGTTGTTCTCCCAAACCAAATTGATCTTTGTATTTAATGACCATTTGAATTATATCTTCTTTCTGACTGTGGGTAAGATTGGGTCCAAATTCCGCTTCTAATATTTTTTCTCGAAGTTGTTTAATGTCTTCACTTGTTGGAGATTTTATTGTAATCTCCGGTTTAATTGATAAAATTTCTTTATGTTGCATTAAAGCAAATTTAATACTTTTGTTATTATTACCAATAGTAAAATACTTTTCCTTACTATGAAATATATCAAACCCATATTGGCTTAAGTTTTCTGCACCCAATATGAAGTACTTGTTGTTTGCATTTTCCATTACTACAAATTCAGCATTTATTCTAATTGATTGTTTAACATGTGGGAATATCACAGGTAGGCTAATTACGCCTAAAGCATGTAGTTTACTACCAACTCCGGAGAATTTCACGTGACTACTGGGCATGATTCTTTCTTGCCAGTCTGGTACAATTTCAGATAAAAAATGTTTTCCCACAATTGAGCATGATGCTCCGCTGTCCAGTAGCATTGGTACTTTACAATTGTTTACTAATGCTCTGACCATTGCATGATGTCCTAGTGTATGTGCCATTCCATCTGCTGGTTTGGATTTCAGTAGTCTTGCATCAATTGTATTCCCCATCTGCATGTCATCTTGCCATGAATGAGGTACATCCGCCTCAGCTTGTAATATATTGATGTCTTTCTCATTATCCTCATGAGTATCAATCATGCAGACATTCTGTTGCTGTTGATTTTGGTGATTTTCTCCTTCACTGTCTGAACTTGAGTCTCCTGAAAGTTGTCCTCCGTGAAAGTCAAATTCGTCATTCATATTATCACTTTCC